GTCTTAAAAAGTGTGCATGGAAAGAGAATGTGTATTATTAGTTACTTTTTGTTTTTTTAGATTTAAATTTATTATATAAAATAAAAGGGTAGAGTAGGATTTTAACTGTATTAACAAGGAAATAGACTAAAATATGCTGTGCCCTTTGACCACAATCTATATACTCTCCTACCCTTCTATGTTCTAAATACCCCTTAACTTATATTGACTAAATAAAAGACATATTTTGCCCCTCTTATTGATTGATTTAATTTAAATAAAAAAGGAAAAAGAAAATGGACGCGGACCCCACTCCACCACCATCTTCTCTCTTCTTCAACCACGATCCCTCTCCAGCATCGGACCCAATCCTCCATCGACGAGCTCATCCTCCGTTTAACTCCATCGTCTCTCTCATCAACACGAGAAGCAACCCAACAACTGAGGTAATACACTTATTTGTATCCATTGTTAAATTCAAAACTCGTTGGCATGAAGTGGAGTTGTTGTGGATTGTATTTTTTCCCTATTGAACTATTAACATTGTAGATTTGGATTTGATCCGATTTTTCTTATCCTCATTGTCAATTAGGGATATGAGTCGAATTGGGTCGACTATTTTTCATAATGTGTGCATTGTAACAGTTCAATCGAATTGAATCGTAGGAATGTATTCGAAAATCAGTAGTATGCGTTGTAGTACAACTGGTAGAACTTGGTATAACTATTTGGGCACAACTTGGTATAACTATAATGATAAAACTTGTAGTACAAATGGTACTCTTTGGTGGAATTCAAGAGATAAAGTTCATCAATCTCTTAGAATGGAGACAAATTCTGCAGTGGAGAACATGGACGCACGAAGAAGAAATCTACCATCGCAAGCTAGTTTGAGAGTCAGGGTTCCCGAAGTTGATTGATTGTATTTTGATGTAATATCCTATTTGAAAAATTATGTACAACTTGTTTTTGTTATGGTACAACTTGAATAATTTGAATTTGATTTTCAGACTTTCTTAAGTCAACTTCTTTTAATGATATTTAAATTGATATATATATATTTAAATAAAAATCATTATTCTTATATTTAAAAAATATTTAAATAATCTAAAATAAGTATTTATTTTATTTAATCAAATAATCAGGATTTATTTGAATTTTTAATAAACAAGAATTGGAATTAAATATAGAAAACCTAATAAATATATATATGAACTGAATTATAATTTCATCATGTTATCCAATATATATATAAAATAAGGAATCATGATTTTATTATTATATTTCACTATAGATATCATCATATTCTAAGTTTATCAAGAAATACCTTACACATTAAGGGTCACTTTCTCATTGCAAACAACATATAATTAGAAAAGCTAAGAAACAAATGTTTTCAAAAATATTTATGCATGTACATGTGGTATATGTACCTCAATTAATTAAAATCATGTGTACAACTAAAAATATTTCTTTTAAACATTGTATAACTAATTAAAACAAAAAAAATAAAAAAGTACAACTTGGCAAAACGAGTACAACTTGTAACTTTGGTA